TTTTTTTTTTTTACCATCAGCAAAAGTTCATTTTTTTGGACACCTGTTGCTTCACTAGAAACATAATTTAGCTTAAAAATGTGTCTATGTACTATTGCTGGGAACAGCAGTCTTGATAGAAACATACACACATTGTTATATGTATATTATGTGTATTACAATTCAGTGATATTGATTACATTCACTGTATTGTGAAACTACCATCACTGTCTGTTTCTAAAATTTTTGTCATCCTGGACAGAAATTCAGTACTCTTTGAAGAGTAACTCTTCATTTTTTTTTCTTCCCTGGATTCCTGGTAATTGCTAATAAACTTTCCCTTCCATGCATTTGTCTAGTCTATGTATTTCATATAAGTACACTCATAAAATATTTGTTCTATGCGATTTGTGTTACTTAGCTTAATGGTTTCAAGGTCCATCATGTTTTAACATATTTCAGAGAATCATTTGTTTTTATGGATGAATTTCACTTTATGTTCACACCACATTTTGCTTATCCATTTATGTTTTGTTGAAAACTTGGTTTATTTTCACTTTTTGGCTATTCTGAATAGCCAATATAACCAGTACAATGAACACTGCTATATAAGTATCAGTTTGCATTTCTGTTTTCTAATCTTTTGAGTATTAGTGGAATTAAGGAGATCTTATTAATACTTCCTTATTTAACATTTTTTAATTCATTTTTAAAAAATTTTAATGAAAGTTTACAGATGCTTTGGATTTCCATTCATTCATTGTTGCACACTTTCCTCCCTGCCCACCCTTCCCCCTCAGTTTGCTTTTCTCTTTGAAAAGTAAAGAAAAAATTAAAGAAGAAAACAAAAGTAAAAAAAATGTTTTATTATTATACAATCCATCCCCCAGTCCATTTCACTATGCAGCTTACATTCTGGACTCTTGTCATGACAACAATATCTAATCATATATCCCTTTTAAACAGTTCTCTCCCTTACTGTTTCAATGCAGTATACATTATTTATCCCCTCTTTTCCTTATTTCCCCCCAACCCCTATGTCAGTCCCACTTTACAACAATGGCATTATGCAGTATTTGTCCTTTTGTGATTGAGATATTTCACTCAGCATAAAGTCCTCCAGGGTCACCCATTTTGGCTAATATTTCATGAGTTCCTTGTTTTTCAATGCAGCATAGTATTCTATTGTGTGAATATACCTCAGCTTCTCTATCCATTGGTTTGTTGATGGGCCCTTGGATTGTTTTCAACTCTGCTATTTGTTTAACTTTTTGAGGCACTATCACTTGTTTTTCATGATGGCCGCAAAATTTTACATTTCCACCAGCAGTGGATAAAGGATCCGGTTTTTCTGTATCCTTACCAACACTTGTTACTTTCAGGTGTTTTTAATAACAACCATACTGGTGAATGTGAAGTAGTGTCTTTTTGTGGTTTTGATTTGCTTTCCTGTTGGAGTTGACACTGTAATAGTGAATAACGACTAATGATTAACATCTTTTCATATGCTGTTGGTCATTTATATTTATTCTTTGGAGAAATGTTTATTCAAATCATTTGCCTATTTTAAAAATTGGAGTGTTATCTTTTTTTTGTCGAGTTGTACGAATTCTTTATATATACTAAATATTAAACCTATATCAGTTATATGATCTCTAAATACTGTCTTCTACAGCTTGTGTCTTCACTTCCTTTGATTAAATTTTTTTGTGGCTAAAAGTTTTCAGGTCATTTTTCGTCTTTCCCCCCATACCTTGCAGTTTACTTTTTGAAAAGAGTTTCGGTTTTGTTAGTTACAGTGTGCTCTTCTCACATTGTACTCAGTAATCATAGCTTATCCTTCATAAAGCAGGCTTGTCTACCCATTTATAGCCAAGATTATTGGTTAAGGGATACTTCGAGAGGAGCCTGACCCTAACAGCGTGTAGATCATAGCTGTACACATCTGACTGTAGACCAAATATATAGAACTTCATCTAGCATGTTTGGAATTTATATGGAGAACATGGGTTTACAAATTAGATTCAGTGGATATAGAAATACAATTCTATTCCCCTTAAATACTAGTAATTAACAAGTTATTTCAGTCATAAGTATTTGGTGATTAGAAATCTCTGAATTCATGTTGATATATTAGAAATGGCAGTACATTAAATATTAGGAAAACTAAGTCTTCTGCCACTAACTTCCTCTGTGCCCTGGGACAAATTACACCCGCTCTTCAAAGCCTTGGTTTCCTCATCTAGTAAATATGCAGGAAGGTTTTGAACATCTCCAACATTCTTTTACAGCTCCAGCTGGAGTCTGAGTGAACAAAGTTGTCATTCCAGTGATTTGACTCTGAATAAATATCCTGAAATTTTATGAAGGGGAATTTATCATGTTGGAATTTTATTTAATGCACTTAGATTGCCCCTCTTGAAGTCCAGATTTTAATTTACTTGTTGGGAGTTCCTGTGGCCAATCATAGGCTCTCCTTGAAACATTGAGTTTCTCTATAATATTAATGTTAACTAAGAATGAACTGGAAGTCTCCCACAGCAGTGAATTCAAGGAGCTCTCTTTTCTTACGCTGATGTGTATTTCCCATTTTTTTCCTTTGCTCTTCTGGGAAGCAAGCGGCATCGTATTCCAGTGGGGCACTGGTTTGGCATCATCTGGACGGCGTTTGTGCCCAGGGCAGACTCTCCCATTGTTTCTGACAGCAAAGGAACCGAGTAGAGTAACAGGTGAGGTCTTTTTGTTTCAACTGGTTTTGCTCTTTGTCAGGAAGTAGAGATATTGGCATTTGGAAAATTAATAAATATGTTTTTGCTTTTGGTATTTCTTGGTCGCTGTCTAAGTCTCTATTGGTTGGTCTGTTGGTCTTGGAATTTTTATTAGCCTAACAGAAGGACTTTTCTTTGCTGGCAGTTTGGGACCCATTGAGAGAGAAAGGCAAGCTCTAGAACTGTTAAAAATGAGATTTTTTTTAACATTTTTATTGTATTTTGTACAGTCATTCACATTTATACACTTATTCACATACATTATTTTAGTCGTGTACATTTTGTTTTATACAATCACTTCTATACATTGTATTTTATGTAATTAATTAATAACATTATGTTGATTAATATAATTATGTTATTTTAAAGGATGAAACTTAACATTACAATAGGAAATAATGCTAGTAAATGTGATAAGTAGGGAAAATAAAAAGTTTCAACAAAATATCAGAGCAAGGATTTTTTTTTATAGCAAGAAAACGTTAAAAAATATAAAGCCACAATTATGCAGGTAATTAATTACTATTGAGCTATGACTTTTATCACTCATATCATCAAGTCCCCATTGCACCTTACCTATTCCTTCATGCCCAGGCAGGTCAATTGGTTGATCTTTTTGTTCATGAAATGGTCTTTGTACTTTCTCTGTTTCTTTCTCACACACACTTTCTCACTTTAACTCTGTGTCTCACTCCCTCTCCCCCACTTTTTCTTATATGTCATCTACCCCTCTGCTCTGTACTGTCTTTCTCTGTGTATTGGTGTCTTCATCTCCTCCTTTTTCTCACTCTCTTACTGTGTGATTCATATTACTGAGAACTGACTATAAGAAGAACTAGGAAAAGGAGACACCTATCCACTTTTCTCTACAAAGAAAGAGGAACAAAGGAAGAGTTTCAGAGAGCAGTTGAACGGAGGGAAGGAATCTGTATGTCATAATACTTGAAGCACTGGGCTGCTAACTGCAGGTCAGTGTTTTAAACCTATTGGTGCCTCCATGAAAGAACGATGTCACAGTGTGCTTCTGAAAGTATTTACAGTCTCAGAAACCCTGTGGGGAAGTTATCCTTCGTCCTGTAGAATTACTGTGAGTTAGAATCCACACTATGGCAATGGATTTGGAACAGAAGGAGAGAGAGAAAAGGAAAAGTATGGGTTGCAGTAGAAGTGATGTACAAGAGAGCTTCGATGACTTGATTTTTCAGAGTTCTGGAGACATTCTTCAGTGGGGAGTGGGCGTAACTTCCTTGAAGCCCATTGGTTGAGTGGGGTGGGTAGTCTTAGAAAGGGGAAGGGGACATTGGGTAACAAGGAGGCTATCTATCCACGTCACATGACATCTTAATATATTCATACTGTAAATTCCCAATTCCCATGTTTTTTCTGCCTCATCAAGACACTTAACTTCTCGTATGGCATATCCTGCATTCTCTTTTCTACATGCATTTGTGTAAACTACTATTTCTATTCTATTCTCCCCAGGAAGATTCTGAGTTTTCGTGGCCTAACTTAAATACAGCTTTCTTAGTAAGGACATCTCTCTTCCACCTCCATTGTATTTTCCTCATGCACTTGAAAAGTATTATTACTCATCTCAAAATGATACATCTCTTTGACATTGAGTTGGAACCACTCATAGCTGACACTCCCTTGGCTTTTCAGAGGCTGTAAATTGCATGGGAGATGACCTGTCTGTTCTCCCATGGAGGTAGCTGATGGTGGATTCGATCCACCCAGTGTTTGGTTGGCAGAGCAATTCCCTATCCATTAGACCACCAGAACTACTTTTATTCTTATTATTATTGTATATGTGCTTTCCCACCTCCCAAAAAGACTGGCCTTTTTTTTAGGAGCAGGAGCTATATATGTTATTTTATGTTTCAGCACAGACTCCATAACTAGAAAGAATAAAAAAATGTTTTTGATTTGATTTCAGTAACCTGTTTGGGATCTTCTTGGGACACAATGAGATTCAGTTGATTTGGGGGAATTTTTTTTTTAACATCTATAAGATGAAGATGAAGAGCAGTGGAGTCTCTCTGGAGACTAAGGTGCGTCTGATACAGGCTATGGTCTTCGCAATCACCTGTTATGCATCAGAGAGTTGGACAATGACCAAGGAGGATAGAAGGAAAACTGATGCCTTTGAGCTGTGGTGCTGGAGAAGAGTATTGAGAATACCATGGACTGCTAGGAAAACAAATAGATTTGTCCTGGAGAGGGTTAAACCGGGTGGCTCCTTGGAGGCAAGGATTCTGAGGCTCCGTCTAGCTTACTTTGGACATGTAGTGAGGAGAGACCGGTCCTTGGAGAGGGACATCATGCTTGGGAGGGTGGAGGGACGGCGCAGGAGAGGAAGGCCCTCTATGAGGTGGATTGATTCAGTGACTGGGATAATTGGGATGGGAGTGTCAGAGACAGTGCGATTGGCACAGGACAGAGCGGAGTTTAGGGCTGTTGTACATAGGGTCGCTATGAGTCGCAGGCAACTCGACGGCACATAACAACAACAACAACAACATCTATAAAATAGTTGATAAAAGTGTAATAAATAAAAAATGTAAACCATCTTTATAATTTAGAAACAAAAAACCCACATAGTTTTCAACGTTAAAAATATTTAAGTGCACTTAAATAGACGCGTGTCCAAAGAATACATAAACAAATGAAAATATCCTCAGTACAATCAGTAATTAGAGGAAAAGCCAAATAAAATACCACAAAAATTCACCTTCACTTCCTGTTGTTTTATGTCATCAGGTCAGAAATGAGTTTGATCCAGGGGCCACTAGAGTGCCTTAATTTTTATGTGTGAAAAAATATTGTTTAATTTCTAAATTTTTTTCAAAACATTTAAAATATAATCTCTTCATCATCTTCACTTTATCTGGAACTGGAGCTGGGCGGTGATTGCTCGATCCTCATATGGCCACTAGAGGTCACACTTCCTCTCTAGTCAACAGCCCTTCTCTGACCTTTTCTCTTTCAACAGGATGCTTGAAGGTGTGAGGGCAATTTCAGTCAATTAAGTAGAAGTGTCAAGAAAAGGAGTTACCAAATAAGACTGCAATCTCTGCAAATTAGCAAAACTACTAGCTAGAGTTGATTTGAATTATACCTTGTTGAGAAAGGTCATGTAGATCAGGCCTTTCTTGTAGCTGTAAAGGCAGTTCAAGTTCTGGTTTTGCCTGTGTGTTGTTAGGAGATTTGATGAGTTTATGTTTAAGTGACTGCACATGATAGTACCTGAATGTGTGAGGAAGCATTGCTTCTTGGCTCATTCGGTGAATGTAGGTTTTGTTGTAAGAACTGACTCGATGACACCTAGAAACAATCTCACAGTGCCTACACTAATATGTGTATGTGTATACACCTCTACTTATTTACTAGTCTCTCTATACGCCTGACTCAGTGCTGTGGAGCCGGCTGTGACTCACTGGGAATCTCCATTGGGCTTCTGACTCTAACTATGTTTGCTTATTTTTCAGTTCTTCTATCATCTTTATTCACTGTCTAGCTCTCAAGGCTGTAAATCTTATGAGAGGAGACTGCCTGTCTTTCTTTTGAGGAGCAACTGGTAGGGAGGAGGTGGTGGATTTTTTACTAGCAGTCTGTCATGCATAGAGTACACCACCAGAGCCCCATATTGTTGTTGTTGTTGTTAAGTGCTTTAGAGTTGAGTACAACACACAGTGATGTTATGAACAACAGATCTGAACCCTGCCCTATCCTGTGCCGTCCTGATCATCTCTGATATACTTAGTCCCATTGCTGCAGCCACTGTGTCCATCTATCTCATTGAGGATCTTCCTCTCTGTCTCTTCTTTAGAAACCAGAAATTTATATTGCTCAGGTGGACTACTGGTAGAAAGCTGTTCTGCAATCCCAAAGGCACATGGTTTGAATCCATCAGCTGTTCCTTGGAGGGAAGTTGGGCATTCTCTTTCCATGTGATTTAGTGCCTCTGAAAACCCAATGAAGGGTCAGAATAAGAGTTAATTCTGACTCAACAGCACAACAACAACAATAACAACATTTCCAATTGTAATCCATTATTACATGTTTGATTCTAGCCCTTCCCTTTTTTCTTTTCTTTTTTTTATTGGGAAAAACATATTGGGGGTACAAGGAAGTGAGGGTTGGGAGCAGAAGGGTGAGGATGGGCCAGGATGCAGTTGCAGAGCTGCACAGTTTGGTCGGTGGGGGGAGCAGGTGAAGGAAATGATGAGGGTCCAGTGGGGACCAGATGCTACAGAGGAATGACAAGCATTTTCCAATGGTAATTAAACCAACTG